TGCCCTCCCTCCCTTTCTCCCTCTGTCCTTCCCTTCCTCTTTCCCTCCTTCCCTCCCTCTGTCCCTCCTCACTAAGCTGTAGCAGGTCAAATTCTCTATCTAGGAAGAAAGGAAGTAGACACTGAAGAGAGTGGCAGTGACCTCAGGTTGGGCAGCACCTCCAACTCATTTTGGAGCAACGAAATTGCTTCTGCCTCCTTCGAGCCTAAATTTCTTGGCTCTGGGTTGCTATAAAGCAGGCTTAGTTCCTAACAAGAGGAACCTGGGTGGGCCCGCTGCACCAGAGTGGGGGAAGGGCGTGGCATGGGCATGGAAGTCAACCACTGTTTCTGGAGTGCAGGCAGGTCTAGGAAATGCTTGTGAAGACAGCTGATGTCTGAGAAATAAGTCAGTCTTCCAAGGTAAAAGGCAGCTTGAGGGCTTCTGGAACCCAGAAAGGACTAATCACTTCTCATTCACAGGAAGGTCCAGGGCCAGGCTCTTAGCTCACCTCAACTGGTCTTTAAATATCCCCAGATTGTCTTCTTCCCTGACACTTCTCTAAGCCTCGTGGGTGCGCCAGAGAATTAGGTAGATGATTTCCAAGCAGAGACAAGCATCCCTTGGAAAGATCCTCATTCCAGGCAAGGAAGATTGGAATCTGGAGACTGCTACTGCAATGCAATGGGGACCCAGAAGCCCCTAGGAATGCTCTAGGTGCGCGCATGAACCTGGGGGCCTGGCTCACTTTCATCTGGGCAATGAGAAGGGTGGAGATCTTAGGAGGTCTTCAGAATAAGCACTGAGCCTCACCACCAACCCAACAGTGTCTTGGATTTGGGGGCTTGGACCTTCGTGCTGCTAGGTGTGCAAGGCAGGGTGGGCAGATTGGGTCAATGAGACAGAGAGCTGATGGGAGGAGCAACAGCCGGGGAAGTCACGCTGAGGAAAAGAAACCCGGTGTGCAGTGAGGAGTGCACATCTCCTGCAGCAGTTCGCTGCTGCTGGATGAGGATGATGGATTCATTCCTGGAATTCAAACAACACAGAAGCCAGATGAAATGGTCCACATGCAGCGCTCTGCTCTAAAGGGAAAACGACTACAAAACTGCATCTGGTAGGACAAGAGTGATTGCTTACCATCAATCTGTAACACTATCAATTAAAGAAATGTTTACATTCCACAATTAAAATTATTTCCCCCCTCCGGCTATCACTGATCTTGTCTCATTCTCCAGCAAAGCAGCCTTAGATCATACAGGCTGACCTTTGGGGCTCTCTGTCTTTTACAAGTCAACACCAATCAGGAAAAGGTCAGCTAAGGGGAATATCCAGAGAAATAAGCCAGAAAGAGGTATATCAGGAGGCCTTAAGAGGTATGTAAGGATACCATTCCTAACTCGGAGTCTCTTTTGTATCCTCAAAATGGGGATAATGGTTCCCATCTACCTCACAGAACTAAATATGCACATGTAAGCATTTTGAAAACTGCAAAATGCCAGATGAGTGAAAGAGATGATTACAGTGTTTATTATTTTTTTTAAAGAAAGTGCATGAAAATCACCTGAGATGGTTCTTTAAAATGCTGATTCCTGCTGGTCTCTCAGAAAGTGAAGTGAAGTCTCTAGAGTTGTGAACTAGGAAGCTGATTCTTAGCAAGTTCTTAAGGTGTCAGAGTTCTGAAAGTGGAATATATGTGTGTAATGTAGACAATACTAGAAGCAAGTAAAATCACACTCCAGCTCTGGCATGGTGCCTCCAAAATGCAGTCCATTCTTAGATCTTCCTGTGTTGCTGACTTGTCTACAGACTTGTGAGAAATCAGAAGGCTCCGATACAGAGGACAACCAAGACCGAAACCACCATGAATGCGAAGGGCTTGGTGAGGCAAGAGATGATTTCTCAACTTACAAGTCAACGCCAATCGGGAAAATGTCAAGTAACAGTTGCTCATGGAAGCTCTTGTCTCTTTCTGGACAGAAAAAAATCAGGTTGGGCATTAAAGAAAAAAACAAAACATCTGTCCAAGGATAACTTTCTGAGGTGGACGTGGTCTTTCTGTCTTTCGCTCTCTATTAAAGGCCTGGGATGTTGGGACTCCATGAGGCAAAGACTTTACTTCCCTTGCACTCTTGTGGCTACAGTGGCAATGCTCTTGCCTGCTCCTGAGTGGCCCTTTTCCGTCCTGTGCAGTATGACACGAAAAGAATAGGTGAGCACAGAAAAAAAGTGAGAAATCAGGGCAGGCCTGAGTACCTGGCAGTTGAACCCAGAAGCAATACTGAATTTTTTGTTCTTGTTGTTGCTGATTGATAGCTTTTCAACCCAGGCCACTCAGTCTCTTAAGCCTTTCTGCATAGCAAATGACACATTTCTAGTATCCTGGCATTTTGAAAGCAGGAAAGAAGTTAAATCAAATTACTGATGACTGCAATTAAATAACCAGATAGTTTGAAGGGTGATAGGTAAACTCTTATCCCAAGCCCTTTTTTCATTCGTTTTTTTTCTTTTTTACTTTTATTACAAATAGGATCTCACTAGTTACATTGCCCAGCCTGGCTTGAATTTGAATTCCTGCTCCAGCCTTGCAGTGTGGGATTACAAGATTGCACCACCTCCCCTGGCTACTATGTTTTTTGAGCAACTGAAGAATTTCCATTTTTACACTGAAGCCATTATGTCTGAAAAACTTTCTTATTAATTGGGAAATGTTGCAAGATACATATGAAAGCGTTACTTACAGACAAGTTTATGTTTGTTATGTCTAAACAAAGCATGAGAAGGAACAATCATCTTCATATTTTAAAAACAAAAGCAAGGGCCGGGGGAGATAGCTCAGTAGAATAAGCGCTTGCCTGGCAAGCATAGGGTCCGGAGTTCAATCCCTGGTACTAGAAAAAAAAAAAAAAAAAGAAAGAAAGAAAG